CGTTGTCGCTAATGTTCAACTTCCATGGGCGAGATTACGATCATTTAAAATGATAGTCATCCGGGAAAGTTGATGAGATCAGAATTAAAATGATTTCATCTGAAGGGTATCTCGAATGACATTTGTAGATGCCCAAGACGTAGTTCACGTTTGACTTTCAGCCAGAGGAAGACATAGCACAGCTGGAGATTAAATAACGCGCAGATTATACAAATGAATGTGGAGTGTGGATTGTGTGAATAATCTGCGCATGTCCGAGTTATTACTGACATGAACTATGGAATTGCCCAATCATGACGTTTTATAGTGTGACGGAAATTTGGAACTCTCTTCTGCTTGAAATCCGAGGTCATGATATTTAAATCCCCATTGGAATTCAGATGGAGCGAGATTCTCGTGCCTCTCCTCTTTCATGCTCTACCCGTACCTGAATCGATCCCTCTGCTCTGACCTTGTCGCACGAGGTTCATTTGAGACGCGCCTGATTCTTTGCATGAGGATAATTTCATTTCTACTCAGTTCATTCTTTGAGCTTTTTTTTTCGTGTAATTTCCGATATTAATTAATTAATTGAATTTGGTGTGCAGGTATTGTGGTAATTTCAGTGGTTCTGTTATTGAGCATCTCGAGATTTTGAGTCATTTGGCATCTCGGCAGCGGGCTGTTTTTGTCTCGTAACTTTTTTTCCTATCTAGGCTACGGTGTTCATCATTAGCTCCTCTTTTTTTTTTTTTAGCACTCTTTAATGCCTTTATAATAGCAAAAATATCCCATTCCAAGAAAAAACGGAGCGCCCTCCCCGAGTTTGTAAGTGGTTATTACCCTCTCGTTCTTCCTTCATTGCTCGAAATTCCATGCACCTATCACGGCGATTTCCTTATGGTTGGAAAGTCTCTTAATTCCCCTTGATTTAGGATATAATACATGGCGGCTCACGTAGAAGTTTCGATAGGTCGATCGAAGAAATATGGAAGGAATCGTCCCGTCCGTTATCGCTCCACCACTCAGATTTTTGTTGGAATAGTGTATTGCTTGAGATCGCATATTTAAAAAAAGTACTTTGAAGATATCTGATGACCATTTACTATTGATATGACCGATCGTCCCATAATTGCTTTTCATTACATTTGGTGTTCATCATATGGTTTCAGTGCACCTGCTCTCTATGATTTCAAGATGATATTGTTCGCTTTGAGGAAGATATTCATGATTAAATTACTCTTGAGTTGAAACAGCTGATTGTAAAATTTTCATAATGCCAACGCAGCCCCATTGTAACCATCAACATTTATGGATGCTGTCTTTCAAGAACAGTTCGCCCTAAGAGTAAAATTTGGCATGATTCCATTTCATCATAGACAAAACCTGCGCTCAGAATTTAATTTAAAAAGTCGAAGGGTTGACTATTTTGGGGCTGTCTTGAATTGAGATTGTCTTGAGCCTTCTGCTCTTCCCATCTGACGACTCTGCCAGTCCTGAAACAAAATTCTCTTCAGAGCTCGTGTTGAAATGTGACATTTTGTTAGCAAGAGTCATTTGTAAATAGCTTCTTATGACTCACTGTGAAAACTATATTACCTGTTGTAGCTTGGGATATTACTCTCGTTTGCGTGACTGATTCATGAGTGATTGATATCAGCTGTTCAACGTAAACCAGGCTATCTTGGGACTATGCTGTGGTTTTAGCTGACAAAGGTTTTGGAAGACCTGCGAAGTATTTCGAGTTCTGCACTGCATCTCCCTGTGTCGCCAAAGCATCCTGACAGCGGAAAAAAGGAAAGAGAATGAATGTGAAGAAGAAGAAAAGTTTTCCGCTTTTTCTCTGTAACATCCGTGACTCGGGCATCTCTATTATGCAGTGCCAATAATGCCAACTTCTCCATCTCCGGGGTATTATCGCGAAGTCCTTCGAAATTTCTTTTTAAATTTTTCGTATTTCTATGCATGTTTGGGCCATTTGGGAAAACGTATGAAAGCGCATTTAAATAATTGATAAATAGCTACTAAATACATCGATACATTCATGAACATACATTTTTTACTTTTGAAGTCACTTGCCAAAAATAAAGGTGACTATATTATTTTCTTCGGAAGGAATTAAAAAAATTCCTCGCAAGCTTCACACATTCCTCACAAACCCTCACAATGGTTTGTTGCGTTGTCTGGAAATGAAATCACTTGCGTTTTTCGCCCAGGTATGACATTTGAGCTGAAGTTACTCTTTATTGGACAGTCCCATGCAGGGTAGTGAGGTTTTGGAGATTTTTCATTATTGTCGCGCTGCGCCTTTTTGTCGAGAAGAGTCAATGAGACACCATTGGCTGACCCTTATCTAAAGAGGACTACTAGCCTGATGCCACGGGGGGCAATTGAATCAATCCCATTCAACATTCCCCGGCCAGATCTTAGCACAAAACAACACATTTAGCGTTGCATCTGCTTTAAGCCCACTTCCCATGCCTTCCTAGATTGTTACAGTTAGCATGTGATGGCATGACAGTTTTTGCTGGAAGATGGGAATGTTGCGAGCAGTTAGTAGTAGTTGGGGGCTTGTCTTAACCCCAACATGACAATGAATCTCAAGAAGAGAAAGATATTATTAACCTTTAGCGACCCATTACAACAAAAGGCCTAAAGCATGGTACAACTCGCCAGAACAAGGAATATTAGGCACGCCTTTTGTTACTGTGGTGGATATACTTTTTTTCGTCACACCCTCAACTGAAAAAAGAAAATTGTGCAGAATGGTTCAACCTCATGCCTTATGGTTTATGAAACGCCTCAGCGCAAGCTTCAATAACTGCCTCCAAGAAGTATAGTAGGGTCATCTCAGAAATGAAACTACTGTGTAATGCAGTATATATGGATTTGCGATTTGGCCTCCGTCCAAGTGCCATGACGTCACGAGGGCACGTTGTCGGCTCTGGCCAGTGTGTTTCTTTGTGGAGAGGGAATTATTCTCTTCTTTCAGAAGCAGGTGATTGTGTGCGTTTGTATGTGTGTGCGGATTGGAATGAGTTGTGGAGCTGATCCGTGCCGGTTGTTACCCAGGGTTATTACCCTGGTCCTGGTCCCGGTTGCACGGTGCACCTTAAAACCTCCACACTTCCGTCTCTCGTGGCCGTTTCGCCTTTCTTATCCTTCCAGTGAAAAGAGAGCCGACTTTGGAGATCACATCCAACGAAAGAGCTTAGACTTCAAGTGAAGAATGGCAAAAATTCTGGGTGCCTGAATTAGTATTTTAAAAAAGCATTGGACATTTTTACGGTTATGATTATCCCAATTATCAAGGAATGCCGTGCATATTGCTCTACTGAAGAAAACCGAAACTCAAAGGCACGAATGCTGAGTGTTGTTTTTACATCCGTCATTGACAAAGTCGGAAAATGCCCTTTATGGCATACCATATTTTCGATAAACCATGAGTCACCTGGGGTGGCAGAGGTCATCCTGGTCACAGGTGGATCAGAGTGGTCTTGACTTTGACCTTGCTGTAGACCTTAACCTTGAGAGCGTTGACCCGCCGTGGTGGGATGGGATATTGGCCCTGGTTTTCTGGTCCCAGGCACACCCTTTTTCCCCTCCCTTCCCCTCTCTTTTCATCTTCTTTTCTATTCATCTTAAGATTCCGCCTATTGTCCCGTGAAGACAACCCTTTAGGGGGTACTTACAGAGCTCATCAGTATGTTGCAGGCAGGGAGTACTTGTGAAACTCGTTCATTGCCCATCTCAGTTTCTCACTATGCATGGTGTCCATGAAGTGGGTTCTGGGGACATCTTTTTAATTATTGAATTTTGAATTACCAAGTGTCAGATAAATTGTTTCAGCTAATGTCAACGAAGAAGTATAAAAGATGTGGATATATTAGATCAGATTTCTAGGCAACTGCCTCTATATTTTTTCTGATTCCGTACGCATGCATCCATATACCATGATTATAGACCCATCCATGATTATAGAGAAAGTATCCCTCTTCAGAGCCGTATAGCACCTAAACTATAAGGTATAGGACGTTGCTATCGCACACATGTGGCAAGTGACGCATGCAGAATCAATTCCTCTGACTATCAAATCTTGCAACAGCAGGGCGACTTCAATTCATAACTTGCATTGGAGGCATGCCATTTATGTTGGAAAGTTTCAGTATCTGCCCTCTACAATCGTGTCACCTTCGTGATGCATATTGGTCTGTTTAGCTGTGTCAGCAGCATATTGAACTTTTTTACTATGACATTTCTGAGTAAGATGCAAATCATGCTGCTATGTTGGCGCCCTTCTGGGAAAATTTGATAAGTGCAATAATTGATTACCCATGTGTCACTAGTCATGCCTGTGCAATGGCACCATCCTACATCCCTTGCATCCACCCCTCCACTTACTCCAGTTATTTGGATTTCTTGGTTTAATTTGTTCTCCTTGAACTTTTACATTGTGGCCATATTTGAGAAGATTTTAGCTCATATAATGCTGTCCCTTAGGCATCATACTCATATCTAAAAATGATCATTCTGCACAAAAATGATTTCTTTAGATTCAGTGACAAAAAAGTTGCAGGTAGCAATGTTGCAGTCCCATTGTGGACTCTATTTGTCTAATTCCATTGTCATCATATATCATGCCTTGATGCATCCCATAATACATTTCATGACAGCATCATATCATGACGTTTCTGTGCAAGGTGCTTGCTCATCTGAACAAATTATTTTATTTCAACCACTAAACTATGGTGATAAGCATGGTAGTGGACTCCCATGCACCTCAGAGTTGTACACAACTATAAGCATATTTATATCATACATCATATGTCTCAGTTGAGGCATCATATTGATTGATAATCTTTGCCTAATGTGCATATATTAAGGTATAATTTAGTGCAAATTTACAGTATATTGATTCTTAGCTGATTCTAAGACAGCTAACTACATATAATTTTGAGTGCATATTTTGTATTGTGATGTTGAGGGCTGATGATGGATAATATATAACTGTTTGGCCTCAGCAGAGGGAGAGTCTCACGAGGAGGTGGAGGTGGGGGGGCATCTTCATCCTCAGCAGTCACCACTGCAGGTGCAGTTGGAGGCAGTGCTGCCACCACCGGGAACAGCAGCAAGCTGCCAGTCAGTGGAACGTCCTCTGCTGCCACAGCAACCACTGCTGCAGCTATGGCTGATCATGGCCTCCCTTCCTCGTCCTCCAACAACTCTCCTCCTCAGAATGGTGCCACTGCTGGTAAGGACCTGCAATCGCTTTGGAGTTGCTATCAATGTGTCAAAGTTGAATATTCTATGTTCTAGTTTCCTCGTCATCTGACTTTGAGGTGACTGCTTCTTTAACTGTTTGCTTCACTTCACCAGTTTCCATTTTCCTTCTTTGTTTGTAAGGTTTCTCCTTTATTCAGATGCTGTTTAACTTTCAGTATTTTGCATTAGGGCAAAGATTAAGCATTTAAGGATGTCATATAGAAACCTAGTAAAGTGAAGAGCTCATTGTCAGACTTGAATATGCTCTACCATCTGTTTGACTTCATTTTTTTATAGGTGGCGGTTTGAGTTCATTTGGCTTTGGAGCAGATGATGCTGGGACTGGATCAGGAGCAGGCTCATCAGGTTCCTCAACAAGTGAGGTGGGACGTCTGCAGGCTTTACTGGAAGCAAGAGGTCTTCCCCCACACCTGTTTGGGGCACTTGGTCCCCGCATGCAGCACCTGATCCAGCGGAGCATTGGGGTGTCTGCTGGAGGAGGGGGGACTGGGAGTCGTGTCCAGAGCCTCCTCTCCAGCCTCACAGCTACTGGAGAGGAGGGTCGGCAACTCACAGCCCTTGGCGAGTTGACGCAGATGCTGGTGATGGGGAATGAGGACTCCTTGGCTGGATTTCCTGTCAAGCAGACTGTTCCTGCCCTCATTAATTTGATTCGCGTGGAGCACAACTTTGAAATTGTGAGTCACTCTGGGTGGATTAGAATACTACTGGCATACTTTTAACCCTTTCACTTGTGAGTTATGAGGTACAAGTTTACTCTGAGCAATGGTAGATCAGAGAATTTCTCAGGGATACCATTGAAAAGGTTAAGTGCAGCATCTGCAGCTAGATGTTTGCAGTGCTGATAGGAAAGCAGTGTTCAAAATTCATGATAATATGTGCAACACTTGCAGCAGCAAAACCTTTAGGATATAGGGCAAAGCTGTGAATTACACAATGACTTTGGACCCCAACTATTTGTTCCCTTGTTTCATTGGAGCTGAATGTGTCTGTGTACAGGGCCATGTTGTATTATACCTTCAATGAAACTTGAGGAAAATATGAATTGGATGACTCAAAGCATGAAAGGATATCTCTGAGATTCCCCATGACAAGTAAAGTGTGTCTTTCGTATTTTCTCTCTTTTTTTTTTTGGAGCGATGGAAAGTGGGGTCCTCAAGGCATGATTAAAAGGAGAAGGACCTTCAATATATGCCATACATTTTTCTGATGATATTATTTTATTTCAAGACAGTGAAGTTATCATACTCTTGATTTCCAATGTTGAAGCATAATTAGCCAACCCTCCTCTTCTTATCATTTATGGTTGTTTGTGGCACTTCATACATTTGGAGTCCCACACAATCCTATCATGCCAGACTTTGTGGCCTTAATTGCTGCATCTCGATTTTCCTCCAGATACTTATTGCTTGTCTTATTCTTCTTGCTGATTGTAATTGGCTATTTCCTACCTCTGGCTCTTGCTGTGTTTTTGGCTTTACCTTTGGGGTTTCTCATTTCTTGGTGAATGGCAATATCACAACTTATTATTTGTAACTATGAATTGGAAGTCAGATGTGACCTGCATAGGCATGACAGAAGACTAAGTGATAAAAGTGTGAAATTAAAAACCTTGTCATCAGGAGAATACAGGAAATGTTCCAACAATTAGTTATGGAATTCACTGATAGGTCATATTTCGATCAGACAATTCTGCAGCATCTGCACTGCTAATATTTGAAGTGATATTTATACAAATCACCTCTTGCTCTGTCCCAAAACTTTCAGAGGACAGAATGGACAAGCTATCTACAGTACCATATGTCATAAAATGTAATTATGGATAATGTTCGACTCATATCCAACAATTGAACTCTCACCATTGTGCACAGTATTCAAGGAGGAAAAGCACCTTGCTTCTTCCCTTGCCCACCACCAATTATTTGCCCAGTAGAGATGATGGGACAGTGATCGCATTGATGTCAGAGTACATATGACACTTTCCATTAAGGTACTGATTGAGGTTTTCACAAGGAAATAATACAGTGAGAGAGTGATATGTTATGGAATTACCCTCCAGTTTCACGAGTGTTGCAGAATTCACAGATTTGCCCTACCTGTCATATTGCCAATTCTATGCATGTCTCATGTCTATGTCTGCTCTTGCTGAATTTTTGAGACAGATACACTTATCTGATGCTTCTTTGAGAAGTGTTCATGTTTTTTAAATTGCAAAATTGATTGTTTATTTTTGTATCTCAAGTGAATTTTCATTAGCCTACAATACTTATTAGAATTATTATGCTTCATAGTCTAAATTAGTTTCAGGTTTATGATTTCAAAAGTCAGTGTTTTGCCTATATTGCTCTCAATATTGTTAATATATATTACTCATATAATTTTATCTGGGAGGTTAATTCTTGTTTAGCATGTGCATGAATTGGATAATTTTCATTTTAAAATGCTAAATGGTTAGCATCTTTTTTGCTGCAGATGCATCAGGCATGTAGGGCATTGACATACTTGCTGGAGGCACTTCCCCGCTCCTCCCCAATTGTGGTTGAGGCTGTCCCAGATCTCATTGCCAGAGTCCAGGTCATCCCTTGTATGGATGTTGCTGAGCAGTCCCTCTCTGCACTTCAAATGCTCTCTCGGAGGCATCCAAAGCCCATTCTTCAAGCTGTAGGTTCTTTCCTTCGATTTTCTTCTTTTTATTTATTGTAGCATTGGCATAGGTTTTCAGAAGAGTTGTGGCAGTGACAGTGGTAATAGGGATTTCTTGTGCTTTTCCAGTGTGGAGTCTCCTCTTGTCTCCTATATTTGGATTTCTTTTCACTATCGGCCCAGCGGTCAGCCCTGGCAGTTGCAGCAAACTGCTGCCAGGGTCTTCAACCTGAGGAGTTCACCTATGTTGTTGATGCCCTCCCCATCTTGACCCAACGTCTCTCTCATCAGGTGAACATTCCTGCTTTCTTATTCTTATGAGGGCCAGTGGTTTGCCTTTAAAAATACAATGAATGTAATTTAATATATACAACTTGGAAAAATTGCAAGATACCATATGTAGATGTTGGTATGTTTAAAGTTCCCTAGGTACACATAAATTAGCCAAAGCTACAAAATTAAATTGTAATTAATGCATTCAAAATTTTATTCACTTACTGTGACACCCTTCACATACAAAGATTGTATATGAAGAAATGACTGATACTAGTACATCTAAAAGGAAGCACTTGAACATGAATTAGAAAAATGGGAAAACATTTGGTCATATTGCATTGTCAGGAAAGTTTAGAGTTGTGGCATTGTGTGATACCAGGATCGAAAGAGTGTGGAGAGTGTTTGTGTGGCATTCAGTCGGCTGGTGGAAGCATTTGCCACAGACCCAGACAAACTCCAGGCAATTGCCTCTCATGGCCTTCTCCTCAATCTCCAGCAGCTGGTATGTGTTGAAGACATGCTGCAGAAAATTTTGCTTATCATAGGCAGGTTCTATCATGGATTTGAATTTCTTTCACTCAGTTGATGGTGAGCCCTCCGATGATCAGCACGGGGACATTCATCATGGTCCTACGTCTCCTTGCCAACATGTGTACTGGGTGTCCAGCCCTTGCTGCAGCACTACTTCAGCAGAACATTGCTGACACCCTTCGCTTTTTGCTTGTTGGACCACCCAACGAGAATGTGACTTCCATTGCCTCTCCTGAGGTCTGACTTCTGCAGCAAGGAATTTGCTTCATTAAGAAATCATATTTATTATTCAAGTATTTGTAGTTAATAACTTAATTTCTTTGTAAGTCCATGTATTGCTGTAAAAACTCATAAATTTCACCAAATTGTATGTATGATGAGGTGTACCTTATTCAACAATTGGTTTTGCCTATATAGCAAACTACCGAATGAACAGTCTAGCTAGAAATCCACTGAAAAAACGAATTTCTCAAGCTTGAAGTGGGCTCTTGGTGAGGGAAGTATATTGAAATGCATTGAGAAAATTGGTGTGGGTGTTCAGGTGGAGCTGGTGAGCCGGAGTCCACAGGAGCTGTATGAGATAGTGTGCTTGATAGGAGAGCTGATGCCTCCTCTCCCAACAACAGGGATCTTCTCCGTGGATTCTCTCCTCTCACGTAGCTCAGGGATCCAGCAGGAGACCATTGCATGGCAGTGGCGTGATGACCGCAGCACCTGGCACAACTACTCGCCCCTTGACTCTCGCATCATCGAGGTATCCATGGTTAAAATTGAGCATCTCTCCAAACCTTTAAAAGGCGATTATAAATGTTGTGGTGGTCCTCCATAGGCTGCTCACCAGTCTGGGGAAGAGGAGGTGAGCCTGTCTGCACAAGGACATGCTTACACTGTGGACTTCTCCACAATGCAGCAGATCAATGAGGATACTGGCACTGCTCGTCCTGTCCAGCGTAAGAAATCACCTCTCCAGCCTAATGGTGAGGAATGTCAGATTTTCTTGTAATGCCTGTATTGTATCTTGACCTTTGTGCTGGTATGTTGCAATAACAGTTCACATTATGTCCTAGATTTACTTTCTTTTAAGATATTGAAAGCAGCAGGGATTTACTAGGAATTATTCATTCAAACTCATGTTCCTTTTTCTTTTTTCTTTTATAACTGTGTACCATCCATGCAGCACTTGAAACCATCATATGTCCAAGATTTTCCTTTAGTAAGTAAGAGTGCAATCTCATGGAGTTCAAACCACAATGTCATAAAAATTTTAGGTGAGACACGGGGTGAGGAGGAGGAGGGAGAGGTGAAAGCAACTGATGATGCCCGCCGCATGGCACTCGAGGGTGACCCTCAACTATCCTCCAATGTCATCCGCTCCCTATTTGGTGTACTCTATGAAGTCTATAGTTCTTCAGCGGGCCCAGCTGTCCGTTACAAGTGCCTCCGTGCCCTCCTTCGCATGGTTCACTTTGCATCACCCCATCTCCTTGAGGTGATATGATGTTCATGAATATACTTATGATACCTATCATGTCCTATTGAATGGTAGGATTATTTTTCTCTAGCATTCATGTAGACTGATGTTAGTACTGTAGTGATTCTGTGAAAAATGATGTAGAGATGAAGTGGGAATTTATTTTGCATAACTGTAAGCCTTTCTCTCTGGTAGTATGTCAGGTTGAAAAGTTACATGTGAGTCAAAACTCTCCTAGTGTTGGATTGTTTTTCAAGTTTTTTGAAAACTTCATTTTTATAACTAGTCTGTTCCTTAAGGTAGTTTGCATTCTGTTTGGTTTCATTCAAATGCCATTATTCACACACAGGTTACTTTCTTTGTGTTGCAGGGTGTGCTGCGCTTGCAGCAAGTGTCCAGTCAACTGTCCAGCATGCTGTCTTCTCAGGATGTGCGTGTAGTGGTAGGAGCCCTTCAGATGGCTCAGATTCTCCTTCAGAAGCTTCCTGCTGTTTTCTGCATCTACTTTCAGCGTGAAGGTTGGTTTAGAACAGTGATGAGCAACCTGCAGGCCGCATGTGGCCAGCGAGGTCTTGCCAACATAATTTTTTCCCCCTCTCATCTGTCACCCAGAGTAGAGGGCTCAAGCACTCTACTTGCAACAAGCACAACAGAGCGCTGTTGTCCACTGCCGGAAATACGGAAGCAAGAAATAGAACATAAATGCTATATTTCCACTGCAAATATCCCCTTGCTCTCTTTTTGGTCAGTGTATCACTGCTGTCGGAGCAAGCGGCTTGCTTGGCACTTTGGCCTGTAAAATGATTATAAAAAATTCAAAATTAGTTCTTTGCATATCATTAGCATCTGCTATTTTAGTACCTGGTTTACTAAGCCAGGCTTAGGATTATTTTGGTACTCTGCAGGCATAAAGCCTGTAATTCTGTAATAAAAAATGCATGTGGCCCACCGAGAACCTTTAAGATTCACTTGCGGCCTGCAGTCTAAAACGGTTGATCATCACTGGTTTAGAACATTGCACACCATATTAGAAGTGCAGTATCAGGAATACCTGGGTCCATCATAATTACAGCACTTAAAACTTGCTCATTGTTGAAGATGCTTTTCACTGGCACCCCACTAGGAAGAAGGTATTTCCTACCAAAAAAACTTGAAAAAATCAAGTGCACAAGTGATCGATTCAGTAGTTCCCCATTTCCATTGTCAGTTCCAGCAGCATTGTCTGCCTTTGAAGATGTTGGCTTGTATGTAGTGTGCCCTGGTCTCTTTGATGGATTACACAGATCAATTTGCAGGTGTGATCCATCAAGTGCAACACCTGGCAGTTCAGGAAATCCCTAATGAGTCCAGTGTGAGCAATGGATGCGTGGGAGCAACTCACTGTGTACCCTCATCTTCAGGCCTTCCCCCAACACCTCCACTCTCTACAAACCATATGGAGGCGAAGGTGACCAGTTCACGGATGGGTCCCTCCTCTGCCGATGACCGTTCAAACAGCCCTTCACAGCTGTGAGTTTCTGCCTCTCAGATGATTTGCACATGTATGCCAGTGATGTGGTGGCAGTTGCTGTTAGGCTGGATTCTTGGACAGAATCACAAAGCTGCTGTTTTTTAAACTTATAGTTATGAATTCTTGAGTAAAGTTGAGTTTTTGTGATTATTCATAAATTCATCATGTTTTTCCCTGTACTTGCTTGATCTGCTAATGAATTTTGAAAAACTCCTCTGCTCTGCTCCTTAATGCTTTGCTCATTTGACATATCTTGAAGTCACAGGATCAAGAGCCAGGAAGGGATCTTCATGTATTTTTGCTTTGTATTTTACAGTCTTATGAGATAAACGATGAAGTGGTTTTTTCATGCTTGACAGACGCCTAAGTGATGTGTTGAAGCGGAAGCGCAACACTACATCCCGTCGCACTCCAACAGCTGCTCGCAAGGCTCGTGCTGAAGACAACCACAGTTTTTCTCCACCAACTGCTGATGGGAAAGGTAAGTATGTTTGTATTGCTGTCATGAACATTGGTCTCATCAGGTATACTCAGGTATTCATCATCATTGAAGAGGGAACGAGCCGTGGAGCAGGACCTGGTCGCAACTTCCTCTCCAGTCTGAATCCTGCCCGCTGGGGCTCTAGCAACAGCTCTCGGCATCAACATCCCTCTGAATCCTCACCCAAGGCAAGTCTTAAGGCTCTGACATCCTTTATATATGTAAATGATATTTTATATTTCCAGATGCACTCTAGAGTAGAAGTCCTGCAGACTAGAGAAAAACTTACATTGTGTAGATTTCAATACTGTCCATACTGGATATGATATTGGATACATTTTCAAGAAGTGGTTGAGTACCAGGAACTGGTGAAGATTGTAATGCCCCAAACCTCTCCTTGTCTTAGGAAACTGGATGGGGGGCTACCAAGCTTGAATACAAATCTGTCTTTTGCATTTGGTTTTTCCTTTGATTGATCTCTGAAACTGCTTTATTTGACCTATTTTAACCCTTTCTCTAGTGCATGCTAGTGAGCATTTAACCCTTTAAGGCATGATGTAGTAGATATGCTACATACCAAATAAACATTTTTAGAATGGGCAGGTAGCATGCTCCTGAGGTAAATTGTTCGTAGCAGATGTACAACAGTCCAGTCCTTATACCTAGCAACTATGAGGTCACTAGCTGCCATACACTCCTGGTGGCTAGCAAGTTAAAACCAATCTGACTTTGTCATATGGCAGATTGAAGTTTTGATTTAATTTTCTTAAACTTTACACTAATCCAGAGTCCAGGTTCATCTGCATTTTTACATTTTCTTTTGTGTTGAGGTATGTACAAATGTTGATGGACTGACTGAGCTCGCTATCATCCATGCAGAGTGGGTTAGAAAGCTGAAAATGCCATTTGTAGCAAATGAGCAGCAATAATATTTTCGGGCCTACTGCTTATTAATATGGTTTCTAAAAATATTTTTTCCATTTGACCCATGTTCCAGGATGTGAGTGAAACCTACCAGATTTTTTTCGCCAAAAAAGAATCATGCTAAAGGGTTAAAAAGTCTGGGTGTCAAAACATGCCCATGCCAGGGAAGGTGTTAAGATGATGTCAGATTTGGCTCAGATTGAAGTCTTACCATGAGACTACATTTTGTATCACTTGTACCAATGGAATTTCAGTTTAGTTCATCACAGCCAATGCCAATATCTGACTAGATAATACTGTCCAATCAATTGATCCTCATTGTGGGCAGCTATCAATACAATATCACTGTTTATCTACCCACATTCATTTGGTGTTTTTGGGAACAGTTTACCATGTGAACAAACAACAGTTGTGCTAAGTGATGATTCCCAAATGGATTTCTTGGTATGTTTGAGTGACTTGAAAGTGTTATTTGATATTATTCTATAGGAGCCAGGACCGTCATCCTCCTCCCCAGTGATGGTCCTCCAGTCACATGTCAACCATCACCATCACCAGCACCAGCACCAGCAGCAGCAACGCTCTCAGGTCTGGACGTGGGTGGTGAAGCAGTCACAGGAGTTCCTGGGGTTGCAGGAAGAGGCTGCTACTATGCACCAAGGCACTGAGATGGGCCTTAATCATGTGGCTGGGTTCTCAATCCTCAAGGCCCTTACCCAAGCAGTTCAGGCTTTGCAGAACAGCAAGACGGTGAGAGACAACACCCATCAAGAGTTGGGTATTCCTAGCAGCAGTTAAATTTTGTGAAATCCTGGATTAGATGATGAGTGGATGTGCCATTAATTATGCAGGAGTATCTCAAGAGGGGAAGGGAAGAGGATTAAGGGATTAATGGATTAATATCCTTATGTTGTGTTACACAGCATATAGCCTGCTTTCTGGAATTCTATCCATTCTTCCACTAAGACAAAATTCGCTCAGAGGAAGACTTTGTTGCATGAATCATTTTATAAAGTCTCCAGTGTGTGACAGCATAACTCTGCACTTGGCTGGTTTTGTGACAGTTCTCTTTTGGGCACTTGAGTTTAACCCTTTTAATGCTGGTGGGACTTGGGGGAGTCCTGCATTTTCTTCACATATGTTATAGGGCTATGTAGGAATGCACGACCTTTAGGCCATTGCAGGATTCTGAGTCCCTGGTTATAATAGTTTACCACATGTCAAATTGACAGCAGTCCACTGTAAAATAAAGCTGCTGTATTTCCTCTGGCACTTTAAAAATGCTGTCATCATTTACATTCATTTCAGCTTAGGCATTTCTTTCCCTACCAATTTTTTCTGTTTTTGCAAGCTAGATAGTGGAAAGTAGTACAGAAATACTGGGAAACATATGATGTAAAACAGGGATGTGAGTACTAGCTGAACCAATTAAATAATATGATTTTCTTAATTTATTTAAATAATTGAAATAAATATTTAATTTTACTCAAGGAAACCATTTTAAAAGCACTTTTATGTTACATAAGTCTTGTTGAAGCCCAAAGAGTATATAACATATTTTTTCCATGCCTAGAACATAATTCAGGACTGAAAGGGTTAATCCAGTTTGTCAAAGCTTGAATTCCATGTGCTTTCCAACAGCAGGTAGAATATAATTTTCATTAGTGTAGCCTACATGGCTTCAGCTGGAAATAATACATTTTTTTTACTTGAGATCTCCTCAGAATCCCTCAACTAAGTTGAGTAAGTGATAGGCCCAATACAATAATAAACCCAACCCCAAGAATATGGAGTCAATTGGCAAGGTGGAACAACCTGTCTAGAGCATCAGAATCAGGATTTTTTTTTCAAGTAATTGGCACTTCCTTTTCATTCCTGGTATTGATATTGGTATTATATTGGTATTGGTATATCTAGCACAATATTTGGTGCATTTCCAAAATATGTTGCTTTATTCAAAATGTGTCTCATGAATATTGCTGATAAATACCTAAATACCTAGTTGTTCCAGTCTTTGAGCTTTTTTCACATCCCAAAGAATGTACTTGGAAAAAAATCTTAAAAGAAGTTGAGATGTGTAGATGTGTGTTGAGATGTGATGTCTTTCAGTGCTGCATTTTAAGACTTTGCTTATTGTTGTATGTACACTGTTGACACAGAAGGAGGGATGCGTGGATGCACTGCAGGGGATGAGTGTGATCATCCAAGAGTCAGATGTATCCCCATTTGAGGTGCTTCACAGTGGGCTGGTGACAGTTCTTCTTGAGTTTCTTACTTCCCGTGGGAGCCCCACCCCACTTGACCGGGACTCCCGACTCAGGGCTTTCTCCCATGTCTTTCTCTCCTCTCCTGTGAGTCTTCTCTTTTCATATGACAGTTAGGGATGCACCAATACCAATCCAAATTATCTGTATCTGCTGATACCTATATGGCTGATCTGATCCGATTCTCCCTTGCTGCATGCCATACTTGTTGCGCCGCATGTAAATTTTTGGACCATCTCGTGAAAAAAACCACACTCGTACTGGCATTCAGTTCCTTATGAATGAATTCCATCATAGTTCTTTTTAATCTCCAACTGTTAGACAACGAGCTTGAGCATGGCTAAAGTGGAATGCAAGAGATTTGAGAGGGCATTGTACAAATGGAATGGGCCAGTCATTCGCGTACGCATTCATTCCTTCACTTTCTCCCATTCCGTCCCGTCTCCTCCTGCCTTCCTGCGCTGACTGGTTTGCACAGGTGCACTTTGTGCTCACATCCATCTCGCCTCCGGCTCTCCCCTTGAGCACCGATCCAAGTTGTACAGTTGTTGCATCAACTCTTAAATCCCTTAAGGACATCAGATGTAGTTCCTACCTCAACTCCTCTTCACACCGATTGTCCCTTGTACATAATGCTTACGTCCGACGTATTCTTGGCGGGCCTGGTGAATGGCGGGGGATGTTTTGGCCTATACTCAAGAAGCTAATATATTGCCGACATAAATGTCTCCGAAGCTAAATAAATGGCAGGAACTTTGAATGTTGGATCATTAGTGTCCAAGGATTTTTTATTTCTTCCTTTCTATGCCAAAGGTAGCATAAGGCCTACTAAGGTCTGGTCCTGTATTGTGGTTTCATTTCTGACAGCCACTGGGAGCTATCTGTATAGGTATTGGTATCGGTTGATACCATGACACTGGGATCGGTATCAGTATCAGCTAATCCTGGATCAGTGCATCCCTAATGGCAATCTTTATAGGTTACTCTGTTCCCACTTTCTCTAAGATCTGTTGCACAAATGTAACTTGCAACTTACAGAAGAATTAGCTGTATGGTAAAATGATAAAGCTATGCTATGTTGAGTTGTTGATTGCTCATCTAACATGTTCAATTTTAGATTGCTTTGTTCAACTTTTTCTTTCATTATACTTTCTAACTGTTCATGCATTCATTTTTGAACTGTTCATTCAATTGAATAAGTCCTTGCTGAGAATATTTGGTTACCAAAGATGCATTTAAGCAAAAAATAGCTTAGAAGAAACTAAGACGTTGTGTAGTACCAACCATTCAGGTGATATGCCGCATGTCATCATTGGCTAACAAGACACCCTCAGAATGTGAACAAACTTTTCTATGTATGTACTTATGACCAGGTTCTGTGTATACCATGCCCTGAAAAAGGCACATATCTTGCAAATTACTGAGATTAGGGTACATTTCTCATCCATATGGGAATGGTTGGTTTTCTTATGGTACATATAAGAGAAGAGAGTGAGATGAGCATAATGAATGTATGAAATGATCAAATGAGACCTTGAGAGAAGAATAATTTACCTTGTGACAATGATCTCCTTTGACTGGTGTAAGACAGTTGATGTTCTCCTTTCGTTGCAGTTGGAGCGTCTTTCAAAAGAGGGACCATGGAAGGCAGCAGGGAGTCCGGGCTTGGGTCCCTTGATCTCTAAGCTCCTTGGGTGCCTGCACCAACAAGAGCAGTTTCCTGTTAGAGTCCATGACTGGGCGCTGGGTCTCCCTGGACCAGGCGCCTCTGGAGCTGGCAGCAGTGGGAGCAGTGGCATGGGCTCCTCTGCCTCCCCCCGCAATGGCACCTCATCTGCCCTCCGCTTCCTCAACACACATCAACTCAAGGTCTCTGTTTCAATAAGATTATCAGAAATGATCCCTTTTTCAATTTCAAAGAGCGAAAAGGAAGTTTATAAAGGTGTCAGGTTGTACTTCCAGAGTTCTCACGTGAGTGAAAGTATGGCGTTGAATTTAGAGTTATATAAGTATGCGTGCCAATCAAGCTATCAAAGTAGCCTTCCGCTGGCATCAGCTTCTCCTCTCATCTCTCATTGCAGATTAACATTAGTACATGCATGCATTTTCAAACCTGCTTATCCCAACTTGAAGGGGTTGCAGTTTGAGCAGGTCCCAGAGCATCTCTCAGTGTATGCTATCCCAGGCATTGAACTTGAGCTCGGCTGGTGGTATACTGAAACTCTTGTGGCAAAGGTTCGCAGTGTAACCCAACCACCTTTCACGAGACCTATTGACTGGTCTTTTGCCAGTCATTTTAGATCTAGAGTCACTCAGGAGGCACATGGGAGACATGTCGGAACCAACAGGCTTGGGATCTCTTGATCCATATGCATAACTCTCAGACCTAAAAGTTCTCATGGAGGAGTGTTACATTTGGCAACCAGTCTTCCAGAGTTCTGCAAAATGGTGGAAACCCTGGAGATGCTGCAGTCAATCTTGTTTCACTATTGCACTTATGTTGCTTGAGAACCAGACCAGTGGCATAGCGGGGGGGGGGGGCTTCAGCCCCCCCAAGTTTCGTTCAAGCTCCCCCCCCCCAACTCCAGTCTAAATGCATCCACCACCCTCCCCTTACAGGGCGAGGAGAAGTAAGCCCCCCTACCATTCCACTAAGCCCCCCATTGGTGAAACCCTGGCTACGCCACTGAACCAGACCTTGAGGTACTTAAACCTCTGCTGTTCCAGTGGGGCCCCCAACATGTAAAGCCTTCTCAAGATGAATGAACCTGTGTTTTATGAACGCACGATGTCATTCTGGCCTAAAGTACATTCCAAGTCGGACCGATCAAACAAACTTCCTGCAATCCCTGTATAAGCATTGTATGGCCTGCAGTAGCTGACTGTGATTTCCATACTCCTGTTGCACTCCCCACAACCTTCCCTCAAAGTACATGGTTGTATGCCTTTTTGATGTCCATGAAAGCCTCTTTGGAATATTCTTGTCTCTCTAGAATTTGGTGAAAAAAGATCTGATGCAGTGCCATGAGCAAAAACAACACTGCTCTTTCTTTAATTGCTTCTTAAAAACTCCTGAGCTGAATGCATTATGCGAGTTTTGGTTCATCTTGGTCACCCTTGCAGATTAGTAGATTAAGTATTCCAATTGCATGCTGTGCATGCAAAAGAATTCCAAATAATATACCACCCACTTCCAAAATGATTAGGGCAGGCTGATTTTCTCTGCCAACTCTTTTTCATTTTTCATTTCACAAATAACTGGACAGGAGTAGGGAAAGAACCTCAATTTGGTCTAGAACTTCGATGTGTGGGCTAACTGCAGACTAAAGCACATCGCTATATTACAAACAAATAAAAAAAGTTAACTCTCAAAATAATATCACATGTTCCAAAATACTTTGGGCATTGGCACTAATACTTCATGACTTCACCTCTTGACGTGACTAGGGTTTCCAATCAGTCAGACATACTGGAGACAAGATGGGCGCGTTGGTCTGAAGTGATGGCACCCAAAAATTCCCGCAGGGTTGCCCATAATCCCTCTTTGGTTCTCAGTTGATGCTTTCTGATGCAAGACTTCGAAATTACCCAGATAATCTTGATTGGCGACATATCTGGACTGCTGACTGGCCTTGGTAGTACCTCCATCTGTTGATTTTCGAACCATTGGCATGTTATCTTGCTGGTATGACATCAGGGTGTGGTTCTTCCACCAATGGAATCATGACATTCTCCCAGATTTCTATGCATTTCTTGCTGTCAACTTTTCCATCGATGAACAGCAGCTGGCTGACCCCCTTTTTTTTGCTTGTGCATCCCTGCACTATCAAGCAGTCAGGAAATGAAACCTTCGGGATGAAAAGCCTCATCCTTCAATAAGGGAACTCTCTTGCCGTGATCCCCAAGGCAGATGATGAACCTGGATTTGCCACTCCATACCACCTGATTCTAGACTGTCAATAGTCACTTCTTGAACTCTTTGGCACATTTGAGTCACACTTCTTCTTCAGTTTTGACATTAACAGTGTCTGTACTTTTGCCTTGTGCAGCCCATCTTCATGTGGCAGCGAAAGGAATTCAGCCAATTACCATTGGTTGAATTCCACTCCAGGCACAATTCTAGAGAAGTTGCAAGTCCCCTCTTTGACTTGACATGCTTACAGAAGGATTTATTTTGGCTAACCTAAATGGACCATCATCATACAGCTGGCTTTGAGCAAAAGTACAGAACACGATATCATTGTTCATTGCAAAAAAATGAGTGAATCTTCTAGACACCCACAAAAGACCTCTGTCAGAGAAATTAAAAACGTGCCTCAGGGATCACGGCAAGAGAGTTCCCTTATGGAGGACAAGGCTTTTCATCCCGAAGGTTTCATTCCCTGACTGCTTGATAGTGCAGGGATGCACAAGCAAAAAAACAGGGTTGGCCAGCTGCTGTTCATGACTGATTGGAAGCCCTAGTCATGTCAAGAGGTGAAGTCATGAAGTATTAGTGCTGATGCCTGAAGTATTTTGGAACATGTGATGCTATTTTGAGAGTTAATAACTTTTTGTTTGTAATATAGCGATTTGCTTTGGTCTGCAGTTAGCCCACACATCAAAGTTTTTGACCATATTGAGGTTCTTTCAATACTCCTGTCTACTTATTTGTGAAATGAATAATGAAAAAGAGTTGGCAGAGAAAATCAGCCTGCCCTAATCATTTTGGAAGTGGGTGGTATACTTACTCCATAAAGTTACTTCCCTATTTCAAAAGGTCCTATCTCCATTACAGATTGGTCTAGAAACTTCATATTCAGCCCAGATGATGTACAGCCAATGGGATTTATGATAGCAAAGTTTCCAAAGGTTTCCAAAAGTTTCTTGAAATCACCATCAGGGTGGCACTGTACCGACCAGAGACACAGGTCCCTCCACACTTTGGGAGATGCATTCAGTCTCTTCTCCAACATACGTTCCAGGACTGTGTGATCACCAGGGCTCTCCCACAGGCCTAACCACCAAGGTCACAGGATCTTACACCTGCAGACTTCTGGCTGTGGTGTTTCCTGAATTCTGACTGTCGGGTTTACAGTGGCTGTCCTTCAAACTTATTGGAGCTCAAGGAATGCATAGTGGCGCCATGCTGCACCAGATTCTGACATTGTCGTATGACTAATTATGTTCTGTTGTCTACCACTTCATTACACGGATGGAGGGGGTGGCCACATTGAATACCTGCAGGTTTGGTCATGCCATCCACGCAGATATTGGTATAAGTGCTGACAATGGACTGTGTGTTTGGCTGGTATAGTGCCACCTTGGTGGTGATTTCCAGAAACTTTTTGGAAACCTTTGGAAACTTGGCCATCATAAATCCCATTGGCTATACATCATATGTGCCAAACGTGAAGTTTCTAGGCTGCTTTGTAATAGAGATAGGGCCTTTGAAATAGGGAAGTAACTTCATGGACACCCTGTATTATTCACTTCATGTAATAGAATTTTTGGTTGCATGAATGAGGGATACAAATAATTTATCCAGACCATTTCATAACCATTTGTATAAGTGGTGTACTTGAATGGGAATCCTTGAAGTTTGGTCTTTTTGTGCTATGCAGTGCCTGCTCCAACGTCATCCTTCGTGCTCGACCCTGCGCAATTGGAAAGGGGGACCTGTGAAGGTGGATCCGTTGGCATTGGTCCAAGCTGTAGAGCGCTACCTACTCCTTCGTGGGTATGGCCGTCCCAGAGAGAGCTCACCACGTGACCGGGACTATGCAAGTGACCGGGACGACGATGACACCTCTGAGGACGATCCCTCTGATGACGACATGGAGGACTCCCTGGTCTGTGTTTGGTGTTGTTTGCCAGTCTTGGCATCAACCTCTTAACACTAGGAGTTCCATGTCTATATGTATGGGGTGTCCCAAAAGTTGCACAACCCTACATTAAGAAACATCCTGTTTTGGGTTGCATGACTTTTTGGGACACCCTGTATATGTTATTGCTGACTAGCAGCCAAAACCCTTTCATTACTTATGTTTCTTCACTTTATAATTTGTGAGGAAATTACACATGGCATCTAACAAGACATAACATATCAAGGCTATGAGCTGCTGTTTTTTGGTGAATTCCATAAGAATGGACAAAAATGGTGGACTCAGCACTGTAGTCATTTAATTGCTTAATACTCTTAGGTGTTAACCACATCTCTAATTCCTGATTGATGAGTGAAACCTTCTATTAACATTTGTTGTGTAGTTCATCCTGTAACTTAACTGGTTCTGAGGGTTCTATACACCTTCTCTTGCCTTTGTTCTACTGGTTTGTTGCTGTATCTTGATCAATGATGAGACTCTCATGTTTGAAGGTTGCGGTGCTACAGAACCAGACTGGAAGCCGACACCGACTGGAGTTCCTTATTGGGGATCAAGTCATCCCCTACAACATGACTGTTTACCAGGCGGTACGACAGTATTCCCCTGCAGCCAACAATGGGTGCTATGATGGAGTTGGAGAGTGCCACGACCATGAGGGGTCATCTCCACTGGGTGGACCCAACATCTGGGCCCAGACTCACACTATATATTACCGGCCATTGTCAGAAGATGACGCATCTACATCCAGGGGTGAGAAAAATGTGAGCACCGGCAGTAGTGGTGGGAGTGGGTCAACCAGTGGGAATGGGAGCAGCTGGGCTTCAGCCATTCGTGCCGGGAAAGGTGGGCGTGGAAAGGGGAAGAAGGCAGGAGATCGCTTGTGGAATGAAGGGGAGGTGCCTCTGCAAGTCTCACCTTTAGGTCCGGTTCTGTTTCTTTGTTTTCTTGGCATAGATAGGAGTTCAATTTCAATAGAGGATTGAACTGATTTATTGCCATTATTAGTTATTTCCCTGTGATGAATCAGTTTAGATGTGAATGGCCAAACATATATGCAATAGTATGTTGGTGTAAATATATAAAATGGTGTCAATGTTGCACTCCTTTAGGTGATGAATGAATACTTGACTGAGCTATATGTAATTTCAAGCTCTTTGTCTTCCAAACAGACCAATTTCTGACATCGAGTCTGCCACCATGTGTGACTGTAGAAGACCCTAGCCTAGAGACTCTTGCCCTCCTCCGTGCTCTGAATGCTCTCAATCGCTACTGGGGATCTCTCTTTACCTTGCCCTCATATCAGCCCATCCTCTCTCAACAGGTCTGTATAGATGGAAGAGACTTGCCAATTGGAAGGATTCTGTAAACATGTTTTTTTTTCCCAAATGACAGGATTTTTTGAGTAGCAAGCTGACAGCCAAGGCAAACCGCCAGCTTCAGGACCCTCTAGTCATCATGACGGGGAATCTTCCCCCATGGCTCCACCAGATTGCTCAAGCTTGGTATGGACTCCTGTTTCCCTGTCTCCCTACTTGGCAACATTTGAAGCTCTTTTATTCTCTTACTATTGTACACTACAACACTATTTTAATCCCATTGAATTTGGCATGCTGGAATCAAACATCTCCACTAATTGAAAGAGTAGCTTTTGAATTGAACTGCATCAATACTCATGAAAGCTTATGTTAGAGTACATGCATGTTATTATTGCTTTCCTGCCTGTATTCAATGATGTGCATTCAACTAATTTAAAACTCACTAGCGGACTGCGGCCGCTACGCTGGCGTCTAATAGGTGAAAAGTTGAATCGTCTATTGTGAGCATAACGCTCCTTGACACTCCTCTGTTCACCGCATTACCCATTCGGAACAGAACCGCTTCATTACATTTATACACATTTAGCTTACAGTACACAGGGATATTCTGTTCCTCAACACCATCATCATGATATTCGAGCTCATTGCCACAATCGCCATTGTGAACGCCTCGGTTTAGCACGTTTTCATGAGACTCAAGACGACTTTGCTGATTTCATCTTCCTAGCACATTCAATACTCTTGCATCACCGATTAGCGCATGGGCTATTAGCGTTAGCGTATGGTACACACACCAATGATTCTGATACTTTACGGACCATTTCCAAGAACTTGTTCGACGCCACAGGGGAAGTTAGTGCATGTGTGGCACAATGCTATCGACTAATTCCTGAAAATGCCTCGCCACCACATTAGCACCAGTGAGCAACACTTTCAGAGCCTCAGGGTAAAGTGTGAGTTGCAGCAGGAGCATTTTTCCGTTGCGCCAGCAATGTGAAACAAATGCCCCCGCCCTACATCAAAATGTACAACTTGACATTGCTTGATGCGGCAAACGACTTTAATGAAGGAGATGACATGGAGAGGCATAACATCCTGAGTTCCATGGTGTAATGGTAGCACACCTGACCGACAAGCAGGAGATCCGGGTTCAATTCCCGGCCGCCCCCCGGGCTTTCGACACCTGAGTGTTGCGTACCTTGCATCAACTTGCTCAGCAGGCTGCATGGCTCTCCTATTCCGGAGCGCTCCGCATTCGCTGCCTCTTACTGTTCAGCGGTGTGAGCGGTCCTACGCTCGCGACGTACATCTGCTAGCTGTTCATCACTGATTCTGGCCATTACTGCTAGCACCGATTTAGGCACTTCGCACCGCAACTGCAGTGGCAAACGTTGTTTCCGCGCCTGTCCCAACCGCTTTTTACCAGCAACAACGACCTCCTTCAACACTTTTTTCACGTTCAACCTCACCTCGCAAAAATCACCACCATTTTGATGGGAGTTTGCGCGACGTATGAAACAAAGAACTTTTACGTTATTTCGATTTCATCAATCATGAGAATTCAAATAAATCGACCAAGACATGAAACGCAAATAAAAAACTGTTGCATGGAAGCGATGGCCCGAACCGCCACGCCTGACAACGAAACAAAATATACAGAAAAAATACTTCAGCAAAGAATGTATTCAAATGGAGAATTTGCAGTCGATCAGTGAAAACGTGACACGCATTGAGTCAGCTGTGTCAAAAAGTGCTACTAAGTATAAAGCTCATGGAAATAATAGGATGAGCCACAGCCAATGGCTCAGATTCATATAGCCCGATGGACCTGGCGCTAAAAGCGTTGGATGGCCAAGCCTTTGGCCAAGAATAGCATAACCTCATGGACCTGGCTCTTTGAGTTGGATGGCCTAGCCTATGGCCTAAAATGATTAGTCTCGTAGGCCTCGCGCGTTGGGGTGACAACCACCACCACAACTCTCTGGCTCTTCGAATTAAAGTATAAGATGGCCTGAAAAGGCATAGCCTGGCGCTTTCGGCCGTGGATGGCCTGGCCTATAATCCAGAATGGCATAACATCGTAGGCCCGCGCGTTAGGGGTGACAGCTACGACGACTTTTGACCTCTTCGAATTAAAGTATTAAATTTACATGAAAATTCTGATTTTCTCAGAAAAATAATATATTTATAAAATATTTTAACTGCTTAGCAATTGAATTAGAGCTCTCTCATCAATCCAGAGTTATCATCTTTTAATCATAAGCCATCCCCATATTAGAAAATGGCTTGTTTTGATTGTTTTGTCCTTTTCATTCCAACTGTTTCCAATTATCAGCCATTAATTAATTTATTTTTATGCCATTCCCCATGTCCCAATGAACTTTATTTTGGGAAAAAAAAATTTCATATATCATTTCAACTTTGAAATTTATGGGAGTCACCTGACAATTTTCTAATTTTTCTCCTCTACTCTTGGTCACTATCTTTTTTTATTATTCACTCAGCTCACAAAACCTTCACTTTTTTTTTACTTGGAAAATTTGGTTTTTCCACACACCTCTGTAATGGTGAAATTTCTGCAAATATTTATCTTCATTCCATCTGTCTGCTTGAATGATAACTGCAAGTACCTTGATATTGTATTTTAGCTTCACAGAGCTAAAATAGCAGAGCTTCACATCAAAGCAGTGTCTAGTTATTAGTGGTATGACAACCAGTGCCTGTAGTGACAAGCAAATGACAGCTGATATCCAAGTGTCAAAGTGCAATCATAGTATTTTGCGTCTACTTGGGATAACCTATGAGTTGCAATCGTGTTTTTTCTTCTCTTGGTATTTATTCCCTTTTAGTGTTACTCTGTATTTTTGAAGCAAGAGGAGAAGAAAATACCACTGATGTGGTACAGTGAAAACTCGTTAACTCGAATCCTGATAAGTCGAAATTCCGCTTATCTCAAAGTTCAAAGCTTGGTCCCGGCGGAACCCCGTAGGACACCATGTTAAATGCTCCGTTTAACTCAAATTCGCTTATCTCGAATTTCCGGATATCTCGAATGAAATTTTCACTCCCTATAGCGATTTTCTCACGGTTAACTCGAATTCTGGGTGAGTAGGGGGGAAAATTCTTCTCGTGGGACTTTTCGATTTTTGAATAGAATGAATGACAAGAAACTCGTTCGGGAGGATGTTCTTTTGTCTTTTTTGTTTTGTTTTTCTGCTTCTCCCTCCTCCCACACAGACGCCTGTGGAGAGGATTAAACCTGAGGATTAAAACC